TCGCGCTGGGACTTCCGCGAGCGGCAGGCGACGGTGCACGCGCTAGTCGCGGACCGAAAGGCCCTCGCCGCGAGGCAGGCGGGAGTCGGCAAGGCATGCAGCGAGCCGAGCTGCCGCGGCTCGTGCAAATACGAGCGGCTGGCCTGCAACGAGACCGCCTTGCGAGCCGTGTGGAGGCGCATGGCCGACCATAAGGTGGCGGTGCCATCTAGCCTGCTGGACATTGTCATTGAGTAGAGCGGCGAAGCAGCCTGCCCAATTGCCCATCGCGACTATATATCCTCCCGGGTCGATCGACACTGTAATGTGGGCGCACCCCTCCCTGCCTTAATACAGAGAAGGTGAGAGAGTACATGTTCTGTAGCAATTAAATACGTACGGCTTTACATATTTGAGGTCTAAGATTTAACTGTAACGCAGAGCAGTTTGTAAAAACGTGAAAACATACCCATCAGTTCTCGCCCGACTTGTATGCTTTACTCCACTCCTTCGAGCTCCACTCCTCGGAGCTGGCAGGCTGATTTGAGGCCCTCATGGTCCTCAAGACCAAGGTCTACCGCCAGTTTCTTGAGCACGCACGAGTCGTTGGCTTTGAGAGCATTAGCAATTGCTTCTGCCCCACCGTTCCTGATGTTGTTGCCGCAGATGTAAACCTGCGCACGGCGCACACAGCTGAGACCAGCGCAACTTGACACGCAGACAGGTGCAGGCGGCGGCACCTCCGTCAGGGAGGCGCTGACGGCAATGCCGCCAGCCAGGCCCGTCCCGTCCTCTGGCCCGAGACTGCAAAGGCACAGATCGAGCGTCTTGATACACGAGTTGTTCTTGAGGGCCTCCCAAAGCGCCTCGCCCGTGCCCTTGATGTTGTTTTCGCGAAGGCTGCAAGGCACGAAACCAGCTGCAAGTCAGACTGCTACACGTTCTACGCATGTGTGGCTTGGATGGCAACATACCTCAAGCTCGTCAGCGAGGCGTTGACGCGCAGGGCATCAGCGATGGCTTTGATGCCGGTCGCATCGTAGGTGCCGTTTCCATCCCCGTCCACGCCGCACAGCCGGTTGTCAGCGAGCGACACGCTCGTCAGCGAGGCGCTGGCAGCCAGCGCTGGCGCGAGTGCTTTAACGCCCTCGGGTCCCAGCTGGTTTTGGCTGAAATCTGCGGAGGTCAGCGAGGCCATGACGCGGATCTCAGGCGCAATCAGCATCGCATCCACTGGGAGGAGGCCCTCGTTACAGAAGTCGATGCTAGTCTCGTCTCCCTTGAAGCCGCACAGAGTGGACAGGTTGGTATGCTCCTGCATGACCTTGAGGAGCATGGAGACAGCATCCGCGTCGAACTTGTTGTGCAGCACATTTGTCGCGGTCAGCGAGGCCATGACGCGAGTGTACTCGGCGAGGATCTTGGCCTCCTCCACACCGAGGCTGCAGCCGGCCATGGTGATGGACTGCATGCTCTTACCCTTCATCGCCTCCAGGATGAGGCGCGCCGACGGCTGATCGATCTTGTTGTGCGACACATCGATCGCCGTCATCGAGGCGTTGGCCTTGAGGGCCTCTGCGATTGCCACGCCACCCTCTGCGCCGATGCCGTTGTTCGACAGAGATACGCTCGTCAATGAGGCATTGACGCGCAGCGCATCAGCGATGGCATTGATCCCTGTCGCGTCGTAAGTGCCTTTGGGAACATAGGAGCCACGCTCGTACTCGTCCCAGACGCCGCACAGCCTGTTGTTCGAGATGTCCATGGACGTCAGGGAGGCGCTGACACGCAGGTAGCCCGCCAGGTGCGCTCCTCCTTCTGCACCCAGCTCGTTGCCCGTCAGATCGAGGCTCTGCAACGCAGCAAAGCAAGGCAGCACGCCAACCAGCGCCTGCGCCTCTGCGGGGCCCCAACCGAGGTTGCTGAAGTTGAGCGAGGTCGCCGCGCCTGCAACGCCGTCGAAGAAGCCGCGGTACAGCTTGTCCACGACCTCCACGTCTTCCTTGCCGGTGGTGAACTTCTTCTCCTTCTCGAGCAGCCGCCGCACCTCGTCGGGCAGCAGCGGCGGCTGCCGCCGCGCCGCGCACACACCTTCCAGATGGTACTGGGGAGGTGTATCCGGATAGCCGTAGAAATTTATCATGGCCAGGTCGGTCCGCTTGCCGAGGTCGAGCCGCCGCGTCCCCACCTTGACCCCCGCCGAGGTGGCCGCCTCCACGAAGCACCTGCACGCGCCCGAGCCGCGACCCCGCTCCTCACACGACGCAACAACAGGACAGGCGGCTGCGTGTGGGCTTGTGCGAGCGCGGTAAAGCCTAAAGCTCGGCGAGCGCACCAGCCGCTCTCCTCGTAGGAGCGTGCGAGCCCGAGCGCCTCCATCTCCTCTGCGAAGCCGGGCGGCAGCTCCGACTGCATCCAGCAAACGGT